CTAATGTCATAGAAATAAAAAGAATTATAGACTACTATGAATAATCATATGACAAAAAATTAGAGAACTTAGAGTAAATGGATAGATTCCTAGAAACATAACCCTGACATTTTATTTCTTCATAAAGTCATAAAAATATAAATAGACCCATAACTAGTAAGGAGATTAAAGCAATAATCAAAGACTTCCCAACAGATGGCTTCATTGGAGAACTCTATTAAATATTTTAAAAAGAATTAATGCCAAACCTCCTTAAACTCTCCCAAATTCATTCTATAAGGTCAGCATTACACTGATACCAAAACCAGATGAAGACACAAGAAAACTACAGACCAATATCCCAGATGAATACTGATGAAAAAAAACTTCAACAAAATACTAGTTAACTGAATTCAACAGTACATTAAAAGGATTATATATCATGGCCAATTGGGATTTATACTTGGAATGCAAGGATGGTTCAACATATGAAAATCAATCAATGTAATACCCAACATGAATTGAAGGAAGGACAAAAACCACATGATCATCTCAATTGATGTAGAAAAAGCATTTAACAAAATTCAACACCCTTTCATGATAAAAACACTCAACAAACTAGGAATAGAAGGAAATTACCTCAACTTCATAAAAATCATATATGAAAAGCCCACAGCTAAAATCACACTAAATGGTGAATGATTGGAAGCTTTTCCTCTAAGATCAGGAATAAGGCAAGGATTCTCGCTCTTGCTACTACCATTCAATATAGTACTGGAAGTTCTAGCCAGAGCAATTAGACAAGAAAAAGAAATAAGACATCTAAAGTGGAAAAGAAGAAGTAAACTCTGTTTACAGATGACAGGCTCTTATATGTAGAAAACCCTAAAGATTCCATAAAAGAACTGCTAAAGCTAATAAATGATTTCAGCAAAGCTGCAGGATACAAAAATCAATACACAGAGATCAGATGTATTTCAATACTATAACAATGACCAATCTGAAAAGGAAATTAAGAAAATAGACCAGGCATGATGGCTCACATCTGTAATTCTAGCACTTTGGGAAGCTGAGGCAGGAGTTTGAGGTTGAAGTAGGCTATGATGATGCCACTGCACTCTAGCCCAGGTGACAGAGAGAGACCCTGTCTCCAAAAAAAAAAAGAAAGAAAGAGAGAAAATAATTCTGTTTACTAAAGCATAAAAAAGGATAAAATACTTAGGAATAATTTTAACAAAAGAGGTGAAAGATATATACTGAGAACTATATAACCTTGCTAAAAAGAAATCAGGGAAGATACAAATAAATTGAAAGAACATCTCATGCTTGTGGATTGGAAGACTTAATATTGTTTAAATGTTCATACTACCCAAAGTCATCTATAAATTTAATGCAGTTCCTATCAAAATCCCAAGGGTACTTTTTGCAGAAACATAAAAAAAAAATCCTAAAATTAATATGGAATCTCAAGGGACTCCAAATCTCCAAAGAAACCTTGAAAAGGAAGAATAAAGTTGGAGGCCTCACATTCCCTGACTCTAAAATATACTACAATGCAACAGTAATCAAGATGGTGTGGTACTGGCCACAAAGACAGATATGTAGATAAACGGTACAAAATAGGGAGCCCAGAAATAACCCTTGCATATATGACCAAATGATTTTTGACAAGGGTGTCAAGACTACGCAATGCCAAAAGGACAGTTTCTTCAACGGATATTGGGAAAATTGGATATCCACATGCAAAAGAATGAAGTTGGACCCTTACCTTACACCATATAAAAAATGAACTCAAAATGAATTAAAGAGCTAAACATGACATCTAAAACTATAAAACTCCTAGAAGAAAATGGAAGGGAAAGGCTTCAGGACTTTGGACTTGGTAATGGTTTCTTGAATATCATACCAACAGCACAGAAAACAAAAGCAAAAATAAGTAAATGGGACTACATGGAACTTAAAAACCTGTGTGTGTCTATGAAAACAAACAACAGAATAAAAAACCAACCTAGAGAAAAAGAGAAAGTATTTGTTAATTATACATCTGATAAGTGGTTAATATCCGGTATCAGTAACTTTCACACTTCAAAAACAAAATAACCCCATTAATAAATGAGCCAAGTTCTTGAATAGACATTTCTCTAAAGAAGATATACAAATGGCCAACAAGCACATGAAAAGATGCTCAACATCACTAATCATAAGAGAAATGCAATTCAAAATCACAATGAGCTATCACCTCACATACGTTATGATGGCCACTATAAAAAGAATAGGAAATAACAAGTATTGACGAGGATTGGAGAAAGTGGAGCCATTGTACACTGTTAGTAGGAATGTAAGATGGTGTGGTCATGGAAAACAGATCGGAGGTTCCTCTAAAAATTAAAAATAGTTATCATATGATCCAGCAATCCTATTTCCAGGGATATTCCCCAAAGAACTGAAAGCAGGGTCCCAGAGATATTTGTACGCCCATGCTCGCAGCAGCATTATTCACAACAGCTATAACATGAAAGCCACCTAAGAGTCCATCAACAGATGAATACATTTTTAAAAAATGATATAAATACACAAAATGGAATATTCTTCAGCCTCAAAAAGGAAATCAGTCATATGCTACAACATGCATGAACCCAAAGGACATTATGCTAAACAAAACGAGCCAATCACAAAAGGATAAATGCCATATATATGATTACACTCACATGTATTACCTAAAGTAGTCAAAATTATAGAAACAGAAAATAGAGAGGTGGTTGCCCAGGGTGGTGGGGTGGGAGGAGAGTTATTGTTTAATGGGTTTAGAGTTTCAGTTTTGCAAGATGAAAATGTTCTAGGGATCTGTTGCACAACAGTGTGAATATACTTAACACCACTGAACTGTACACTTAAAAATAGGTAACATAATAATTTAATGTTATGTGTTTGGAAGTTTTTGGGTCTTTTTTTCATTTTTTTAAAAGACAAGTTCTCACTATGTTGCTGAGGCTAGACAGGAACAGGGCTTGAGCAATCCTCCTGCCTCAGCCTCCTAAGTAGCTGAGACTACAGGCATGTGCCACCACCCCTGGCTATATTTTTTCTTTTTTTTTTTTTTAATCACAATAAAGAAAAAAAGAAAGAAATCATAACAGATGGAAACCTAAATCTTAAAAAAAAGTCAATCTCATTAATCTCCCAACATCTAGAGGAACAAAAGTTGTATCTACCTACTGCTAATTAGAAACCAGGTCATTTTACACTGATTATAAATATAAATTATTCAAACAAGTATTTAATAGATATGAAAGGAGGCCTAGAATTTTAAAGATCTGAAAAGTACTGCAAAACCAATTTTCTTACAGTTCACAAAAAATAAACACATGAAACTCTATGTTGATGAAACACAATGAAAACCTGCTTGGTGAAGGATGGGCCATTATGTATAAACACTCCACATATTTAAAAGATATCATAAATTTATGTAATATAGCTGCTGCATCAGTATCCATTTTTAGGCCTGACATAGTTGTCTGAAACCCAGCTGAACCACATCACCTTTGGCCTAGTTAAAGCCTCTGCTCCCCTTGGGTTGGCTGTGATATAACCTACTTGTTCCGCATCTCAGTGACCCAAAACCCAACACAACCTACAGCTGCAGACCAAGATAAAACCTAATGGTCAATACTAGACTCATGTAAATACATTTCCTACTTTGTGCATTTTTCTTTAAATTAGCCAATCCACAACCCCCTTGGGAAAGCCTAAGGGCTAACATCTTTGCACCTGAATAAAGGATAGTTCCTCGGATCCTCACTTTCTCTCCCTCTCCCCACCCCCACCCTCTGGTTGAGCACCCTGCTGCCAGCCCTGTGAGCACCCCTCTTCCCTTGTGGCTCTGTGGGTAATAAATAAACTGCTTCTGTTATTTCCTGTGTTTTGTTGAGTTGCCTCCTCTGTGTCTCACCTGACCGACACACCTGAACCTAACTTCTGTCCTAGTTGGAGCTGTCCTAAAGAGAGACTATCTTGGTAGGAATAAACTGGACACAGGTCAGACAAGAGCCACAAGGGCACCTGCCAGTATAAACGAGCTTCCTGCGAGAAGAACACCTGGCCATGATAAATGACAGTCCCGTGACAGGCACACTGTGAATGCTTCCGACCGCCTCTGCCGGAGCCCCGTCAGGGCAGGGCTACAGTTTACAGCCACTTTCCAGAAGAAGACCTCAAGACCAAATCAGAGGAAAAACCCAACAAAAGAGAGGATGGGATCGCTAGATTTTTATTCCAAGTCACAAGCCAGCATTGAAAGAAGCACTGACTCTCACAAGCCACTGCGTATCCTAGCGCTCCACGGAGCACAAGCATGCCATGTCCACAGCACCCACAGGCAGTAGCACTGCCATGAGCTCTGGAGTCCTGTTGCATCTTATAACAAGTCCATGAGGTACAGTCGCAGAACAATCTCTAAGGCTTTCTAAACTATATGACATTAGGTATTTAATTTTCCAGAGCCTAAACATTTAGACTGGCTATAAAATTTTAATATGACAATTATGAAATAATAGGAAACCAAGAGCAAATTATGCTCTGCAGTATCAATATCTAAACTCTACTGTTAGGCACAATATGAAAATATGAGCTTATCCAAATTTTATGGATAAAAATTTAAGGTTGCTACGGCGATCTGGATTTTGCTATGTTCCAAGTATGAACTTGGGAACAGCATGTTCATTTTCACCTAGGTTATTCTCCCACTGGTTTTTTTTTTCCAAAAGAGAACTTTAAGTAAACATACAAAATGGCCCACTGGGGTTTTGGCTGATGAGATTTTAAAGACAGTATGATTAAATCTAAAACAAGAAGAATAATAAGTTTATCTAGTTCCCATTATGGCAACACACTCAATGCTGGATTTTTTAATAAGCTTTAATTCAGATGGGAAATTATGCAGTACCATATGAAAAAGTAGGATTCGTTTTAAAATCTGAGAGAACCACTTTTCGAATTTATTTGAGGCATTTATTTGGGCCTACCTTTTGGTTGCTGGCACAGCAGTTTCTTTCCTGACTCCGGAGGGGGACGGTAGAGAACCACTGGGCTTCTTTGGTAACACAGTCCCGTTGTTGATGGCGGTTCTTAAAGGCAGGGTCTGCACCAGGGGTCTTGCTGTAAGACAGGCGGAAAAGGAAGTCAGAGCTTTCCCCTTTCTGAAGGTAACACTCTACAGAACTTAAGCTATGTAGAAAGGAAAGGAATACCCATTTTAAAATGCTAGCAGAATGGACAAATAAATGTACAAAGGCAATTCTATGGAGAAAGGATCATCTTTTCAACAAATAGGGTCTGAAGAGTGAACCTAGACACCGAACTTGCACCCTACATAAGAATTAACTCAAATGACCCATAGACCTAAATGAAAAATGCAAAGCTACAAAAAAAAAAAAAAAGCTACAAAACTTCTAGAAGGAGAGCACTTTCCATTTAGTGATGAGTTTTTAGATAAAATATCAAAAGTACAACCCATGAAAGGAAAAAAAAAAACTGATAGCTTGGACTTCACTATAATTTTTTAAAATTTATGGAAGACAAAGGTTAAAATATAAGGCATAGATTGGGAGAAAATATTTGCAAATCACGTATCTGACAAAGAACTTGTATACAAAATATAAATAGAATTCTTAAAATTTAGCAGTAAGAAAATAAACAGCCTAATTAAAAAATGGGCAAAAGATCTGAAAAGACACCTCACCAAGAAGATATACAGATGGCAAATAAGCATATGAAAAGATGCTCCATACATCATTTATCATTAGGGAAATGCAAATTAAAACAATAATGAGCTATCTCTATACACCTATTAGAATGGCTAAAATCCAAAAACCAGACAAAATACCCACTGCTGGCCAGGATGCTGAGCAACAGGAGCTCTCATTCATTGCTGGTGGGAATGTGAAATGGCACAGCCACTTTGGAAGACAGTTTGGCAGTTTCTTATAAAGCTAAACATAGTTTTACATACGATCCAGTAATTGTGTTGACACTAGGTATTTACCCAATTGATTTGAAAATTTATGCCTACACAAACCTGCATGTAAATATTTACAGCAGTTTTATTTATAATTGTCAAACACTGGAAGTGATCAAGATGTTGACAGGTAAATGGATAAAACAAACTGGTCCAACCAAACAATGGAATATGACTCCATGACAAAACGGAATGACCCAATCCACACAACAACATGGATATGTCTTAAATCCACATGCTCCTGTGGTTGCCAGAGGCTGGGGGTGGGGCTGACCAGGAGAAGCATAGGAGATTTTCTAGGGTGATGAAACTATTGTGTAAGATACAGAATATCTTGGATATGTGACACTATGCATTGTCAAAACCCACAGACACCACAGCACAAAGAGTGAACCTTAATGTATGCTAATAAAAACCACTAGGAGATGGGGGAACTCCATGGTAGAATGCAAATTGTGACAAAAGAGTCTACCTCTATCACAAATACATGACATCACCTCACTGAAGGGGTGGGGTGGGGAAGTGCTGACCTAAATAATTCTAGAAATCAGTAGAGACAGTAAGACTAAAGACAACAGGAACTGCACCTAAGCACTGTATTCTAATTGGTGGGTTGTTTCCCACCAGGGTGGAGGTGGAGGTTAACAAGGCTGAAACCACTCAATGGGAACACTGGAACGCAACAATCAAGCAAGTGGATGGAGAGGGTGGGGGGGAGGAGCCAGGTGTCGCCCTGTAGGAGAGGGAGGTGTCAGTATGCTGGGGTGGGATGGGGGAGGTGAGAATGACCCATGTAGTGCTGGATCAGAGCGGGACATTTGCCTTCACACAGACACAGAGCTGTAACTACAAACGTGCGTGTGTACACAGGCTAGGATACACACACATTTCTGAGCTCTATCTGCAGAGAGGGCCTGCAGCAATGACACCCAGGGCCCCAGTCTCAGATTCTGAGGCCATGCCACAACCAAAGGAACCAGCCCCCTGGGGAAACGGCTGAATGCAGGCTGGAGCAGGGAATACACAAAGTCAGTCTGGAACATTTTGTAGTGCCAGAAAGTAAGGAAGTGCTCTGACAACAAAAATAAAAGCAAAAAACCACTGTGTTGAGTGAGGGAGGAGAGTCAAAGGGACTCAGGAGCCAGCCAGAAGAGCTCCTAGAGGCCCAAGCTGGAACAACTTGAGCAACAAAATAAATAACAGTACTGGCTTATAAGTGAAGTATAAAATAAGTATCTCTCAATTCATACTGCTATAAATGGTTGAATATATAAATAAATGAACAGACAAATCCCCATGCAGAAGTATTCCAATTTACGTGGATACCCCGCCCTCAAGAAGGCAGTGCACGAGTCCCCACTCCTAAGCACGGGCAGCACACAGGGGCTTCCTTCCAACCTGCACAGTAAGGAGTGGGGAGGAGAAACCTGATAGTCACCCCCTCAGCCACGTGATGAAGGTCCACACCCACAGTGTACGTCTCGTTGACAGCACGCACCCTTGGATGCCATGTGATGATATGACATGACGAGAAGGACACTTTACCTCTCTGGTCGTCCGCCCTAAAACCCATTAGTCCAGCCATAAGAAACCCAAATTGAAGGACAGTCAACAAACCTACGGCCTCAAGGCCACACGTGGCCCTCCAGATCCCCGAGTGCGGCCCTCGACCAAATCTGACTTCACAGGAAAATCACACTAAATCCCTTTAGTCAAAGAATTTGCTCTGTAAAACTTGGACTCAGTCAAATGGCCACACTCAAGGATCCAGAAGGCCACGTGTGGCCCCAAGGCCACGGTTCCCCACCCCTGACACTATTCCTCCAAACTGGCAAGGTCATCAAGCCAAGGAAAACTGTCAGTGTAGAGGAGACAAAGGGGACATGACAACTAAACAAAACGTGGGATCCTGGGACAAAAAGAGGACATCAGGGATAAACCCAAGGAAACCCGAATAAAGTGTGACCATTAATTGGTCCATTAGTTGTGACAATGTGCCAGACCACTGTGAGATGGTAAACACGGGAAACTGGGCACAAGGTATATGGGAACTGTCTGTACTTGCTTGCGTGTAAATCCAAAACTATTCTAAACTATTTTGGCCCTGTGATGCTGCTTTTGGACTTCGGGCCTGCAGAAGTGAGACAGGACGAAGGTCTGTTGTTCGGAGTGCTTCACTCTGGCGGGCCTAGGAGAGGGACACAATGCAGCCATCACTGCCGGTGCCTGTCTGTCCTTTCCCATGTTCGCTCTGTCCAGACCAATCTCTTTGAAAGCTCTCGCCTTGAAGTCCCCACGAAGGACCTCCAATGGCTCCTGACGGTCTGCTGCGTCCTGTCGCAGGTTATCAGAACCAAGACAAAGTTTAAGAGCTGAAATCAAGACAGCGGCTACTGAGTGCTGGGTGTTAGGCAGCGTTACCAGCTTGAAACTGCAAGATCTTGTCTAATTTGACCCCCAGGCCTGGAGTTGAGGCAGGGAGAGGCTACTGGCCCCTGGCTTCTCAGCTAGGGCTCTTCCACTCCGTTTTGCCAAGTCATACTTGTGTCCTTTTATAACTACTGTGATCTGGTCCCATTCTACCTTTCCGATTTTTTCACACGATGCACCCAGACTCTTTGGTGACCCCCAAACAAACAAAACAACAAACAAAACCCCACCTCATTCTGGCCTCCTTAGCTTTGTCCAGGGCTTTCAAACTTGAGTGTGCGTGGGAATCCCTGGAGGGCGTGTCAAAGTCCACACTGCTGGCTCCACCCCCAGAGTTTCTGATTCCAGAGGTCTGGGCGAGGGCCTGAGAAATTGCATTTCTAGCTGTCCTCAGGTAGTGCTGCTGTGGCCAGAGGACCACTTTGAGAACCGCTGGTTTATGGCACCCTCTGGCTTTGAAGGTCGTCTCCTGCTCATCCAGCCCTTACTGACTGCCTTCCCGGAACTTCCATTGCACACCGGTTTGCACCTCGCAATCTATCACTGATTACATAGAGCTTCAGGTGAGCTCGTCACACCCTCCCCATAGGGGGGATGGCACACATCTGTGCTGTGGGGGAGTGCGGGGAAGGGGTCCCCTAGATCCCTCCTCAACTGTCCGTCCCCTGCTCAAAAGGCAGGGCCCAGGCTTATCTCGCTGTCCCTGGGTGCAGCTGTCCCCACTCTTGGACCCGAAGGGCAGAAGGGCAGTGACCTGCACCTGGAAGGAAAGAAGCTGCCTGGGGAGCCAGGCTGCCTGAGCAGCCTTCAGCAGAGGGACAGCCAGCCGAGGGAGCCCATGTGGAAGGAGCTAAAGGAATAAGTCCTCCAGCCTCACTTCCTCCCTCCCTTCCATCCCCATCGCTCCAACCTACCCGGCAGGTAGAAGAGGAGGGAGCCTGGTGATGTGGTCCACACAGAGCAGCCCAGGGCAGGGATCTGCTGAGGCCAGCATGGCTCTTGGGCACCTGGCTCCTCGCAGGCACCCGGCCCAGCCCCCGCCTCCCGCACCTACACAGCCGGCAGGTGTGGGAGCCTCCCCTGTGGCCCCACAGTCCTTGCCTTTGCCACCGTCTTCACGCTTAGAACGCCACACAGCAATGGCCTGTCTACCTGCTTGTCCATGGCTACTTCACCACTGCAGCCCCTTGAAGGCAGCACCTGGCACCAGCCCACCCACGGAAGGGAGTCAACGTGTATTTGGTCAGACTGCGTTACTTTTCAGTAGCGAAAACCTTGCTTCTAAAAGACGACAGTATGTTGTTTCGGAGTCACTACTAAACTGTTAATCCTTTCTTGAGTCATAATTTCAAAATTCAGTCTCATGATACTCTGTTATTGTCCTTTTCCCAAAAGAAGAAATAGGATATTAAAAGCCCATGAAAAGAAAATCAAGTGCAATGCAACAAGCTTTCCCACAGTGTATAATAAATGTTATATCTTAAAATAGAGCAGCCTCAAAAGCAAACAGAATATTAAAGTTGTGATGAGACATCATGAAAGAAAAGTAGAAAATGGAGAGGGGGCACAGTGACTGCTCTTCGGATGACTAAGAAGTTGGAAAGATCCCGACTTTGGCAAATCCAATGACTGCTACATCCCCATCTTGATAATATCCCTGGATTTTTGTCACCACTGACTAAATAGCTTCATGACCATTGCCACCACCATG